ACTTGCTAAGATATTTTCTATTATCTTATATTACTGACTATAGTAGTGACAGAAACAACAATATTGCACTACCGGCATATTACATTACATTTACAAGTCTTGTAAGTCTTGTTTGTATTGGAATTACTTTCCTTACCAGATAGGCATCATTTAAAGAATGTTACTTTTTAACTTAATATCTGGCCCCTCTCTCATGGACAGTGCATACGGTAAGTATAATTAAGCAAAAAAATATTTACAAAACATCTGGAATAATGTACAAAATTACTTAATCTGAATAGAAACGATTTGGTATCTGTAAGGAGCGTATTTTTGCGTGGAGCTTCTGAATTGCTGCATTGCAGCAACATTTGTACTTTTTAATGTTTTTCTTAATGCTTTGCCTTCACAACACAATAATACAATGAACATTTCCTTCAAGTGGCCCAGACCAAACTTGATCCTGACTTATAAATTACCTTAAGATTCAAGGAAAACCTTGCTTAGGTGTAACCACCGCTCTCCCGTCTGTTCATCCGTCCGTTCATAGAACTGGATCCCGTGATAAAAAAAGTAATGAGATTTAATGAAACTTGGTATATGGATAGATGACAGTCTGTAGTTTATGCATGCCTTTATTTTTTCTTCCTATGTTGAAAACTGTTGTTATTATGGTTACAAATAGACTGAAAACATGGCTGATTTAAGACATAAACTGGATCAAATGATAACACAACAGTAGTGAAAATATTTATATCACCTCGACATTAAAGGAAAATGCAAAGAACTGGATCCCCTGATAAGATAAAAAAAGTAATGAAATTTTAACGAAAATTAATAAATGGGTAGATTGCAGTCATCATTTTTCTGTACTCCCTTAGTTTAAAAGAATCTTTGCTTTGACAACAAATGGGCTTAATGGGATGTTGCACATATTCATTATCCCTCATGTACAGACTCAATCAAACCGAGTCTGCAATTCTCTTGTAACTTTGTTGTGATTAATGCTTCCGATGGATTATTTTGCTTCCATATTTAAAAAAAAGATACCAATATAATAATATTTCTGATTACTCAAACAGTACTGAAAACATTTTTATGAAACTTAAAGTATGGATTGATTGCAGTGTGAAGATTATATTCATCATTTCAATTTTGACTAAAGGGAGAATATTGAGAGCTGTCCTACTCGCCAAGCGTCGGCTACCTCGTCAATATTTCTGATTCCAGTTTTTACGCTTTTCCACTTTAAGTTCTTTATTTCTTGAGTGATTTACTTCAACTATATGTTTCTGATCAATGTTTCTGGTCATCAACAACATCATATGTGACAAGGTTCACAACTCGAGAATTTTTTTTTATGGGATTACCCCCCCCCCCTTTGGACAAAAAATATAAAGAATTTTCATGAAAAAAGAAATGTTTGTTTTTTTATAACTTCTTTATTTCCTAATGTATCTACTTTAGACTTCATAAACATGCTTTTTATTTTCACTTTATGTTGAATACTTTACCTTGACTATTTCCAGAATTATATCCCCCTTGAACTTAGATTTTTTCTAAAAAAATTTTTTTTTTACTTAAATTTCTTCATTTTTATAGCATTTACTTCAAACTCCCACATCAAAATAATATAACAAGGTTTATAAATTTATCATCCATATTTCAAGAATTATCTCCTCCTTAATTAAACTTTAAATTTTAAGATTCTTCTTTACTTCATTTTTAAAAAAAATTATACATTCATTATCAAAATCCTGGAAATTAGTCAAAAAAGCTGTTTTGTGAATTTCTATGTAAATTTTTAATATAGGTCAACTGGGGTCAAACACTAGGTCACACAGCCTATTGAAAGAAAACCCTTGTTATCACCCTAGGGGCTACTGATCCAGTTTAAATATCCTGGAAATTGGCCAGAAAGGTTGCTTTGATGACTTTTAGATCAAGTTAGAATATGGGTTACCTGGGGTCATAAACTAGATCACACAGTCCAAATATAGAAAGAACCTTGTTAACACCCTAGGGGCTATTGTTCCCGTCCAGATATCCTGGAAATTTGTCTGAAAGATGTAATGATGATTTCTATGTCAAATTAGAATATGGGTAATTAGGGTTTAAAAACTAGGTCACACAGCCCAAATATAGGTAAAATTTATAAACAATCTAGGGGCTACTGTTTTGATCCAAATATCCTGGAAATTGTCAGAAAGATTTTTTTGATGATGTCTTGGTCAGTTTTTATAATAGATCACATGGAGTCAAAAACAAGGTCACACAGCCCAAATATGGAAACAAATTGTTAAATCTGTAAAGGCTACAGATTCAGTTCGAAATATCCTGTAAATTGGTCAGAAAGGTTGCCTTAGTGATTTCTAGGTAACTTTTGAATATGGGTCATCTTTGGTAAAAAAAAATAGGTCACACAGCCTAAATCAAATTAGATTGAGACTTCATAATCAATTGAGTTATATGAGGGCCATCATGGCCCTCTTGTTTTTTTCCCCTATTCTTGTCTATTACTTTGTAGCTATTTTTTATATTTAAACATATTGATGTCATAATTAATAAATACAGCATTTGAAACAAGACATTAAAGAACATTAAACTAAACTTAACCCCTTTTTACCTTAACATTAAAAGAATACTTAAAAACGAGACATGTTGAATAATTAAGGTTTAACCTTGACTTTTATATGACATTTTAATGTGAATTTTAAATGATTGCATTTTGCTTCAATTACTATTATTTGTTATCTAAATACCGATTAAAAACATACTTGGACAAAAAACCCATTTGACTTAACAGATTCAGATTTGATATTGACCTTTTCTATGACTATGAGTGTTGAGAATTGAGTACCGCTCAAGCCGGTGCTAGGGGGGTGAGGGATGTTTCACTTAATCACTATCCCTCATGTACAGACTCAATCAAACCGGGTCTGCTATTCTTTTGTAATTTTGTTGTGATTAATGCTTCCGAGGGATCACTTTGTTTCCAGATTTTTATACTTCGTAACAGCAGATGTCAAGTGCTGTGTGGCAGCTGTAAAATGTTGCCTTGTACTTCACTTTAGTTTGTTATATTTTTCTGGTCCTTCGGGATCATTGATGTTGAGAATTGAGCATCGCTCAAGCCGGTGCTAGGGGGCGTGAGGGATGTTGCACTGAATCATAATCCCTCATGTACAGACTCAATAAAACCGATTCTGCAAGTCTTATGTAGTTTTGTTGTGATTAATGCCTCCGAGAGATCAAATCTTTTTTCGATTGTCATGAATGTCAATTTATTGAATTTTGCCTAATTTTAATAGGCTTGATATTTCTTTACGTTTCTTTGTTTAATAACACCACTGACAATTTGAATAATTCAGATATGACAGTGATCTTCAAATTACATTTTCTCTCAAAATCAAACTACTTAATACTACTTTAATAGTAACTTTGTTATTCATTTCTAATTTATATAATTTATATCATTTTTTCGAACATTTTTGATCATGTTGATAACACTTTCGTTTTAAATAATCAAATATTACATTGATCTTTAAATAACATTGACTGTTCTGGTCATATCAATTAATGTTTATGAAACTTATAACTTCTTTCTTAATTTAAGGACATAAAATAAAATGAAAGAACACTTAGATCAAAATCGGCATGTTAGTTAATCGAAATGGGAACAAAACACTTCACCCCTCATTAATTTTTTTTTGGGGGGGGGGGGGTGTCTGCAAAAACAATGGCATAGGGTGAAGTGCCTGAAGGGTGAAGTATGTATCTGTAAATCATTCAACTATGACATTGATATTTGAATAGCCCTTACGATCAAGGTCAATTTATCTTGTTCATTGTTTTATTGTTCTAAGTGATTTCCAGTGCGGACTAGACAACACGTACTTGAGAACCGACTGGTAGAATTTTTCAAGTTTGAGTTTGGCCTCAAAATTACCTTGGCGGTCATATTGAGATTTTTTAAATCTTGCTAAACTAGTCATAACTTTGTCGTTAATAATAAAAATCATTTAGGATTCATATTTATGATAAACCGACATGTTGGCTTTCAAATTTCTATTTTGATCGGTAAATGACATCGACTGTCGATATTAAATAGAATTTTAGACATGAAAAAAAGTATTCCTGAAGATCCCCTTACTATAACATTTTTCATCCGATTTTAATCAGAAAAAGACCGAGGTCAATACTCAATCCTTCATAACTAAGGCTTACTCTATCGCCAATGCGTGCAGTTTACTGAACACCAACACACAATTAGTTTATTTTCTAACATTATAATATTTTGAGATATTTCAACTGAAATCGCTAAAAAAATTTAAATACTTCCAGCTCCCCATATTTCTGCACCATGTAATATTGCGTACATGAAACACTGTACACTGTACGAAACACTCAATGCTAATATATAGCATAAGCCTTTAAACAGCACAGTCTAACGCAACTGATTCCGTAGCTTGAGTTCCACAAACACGAGCGTTTCCACATAAACAATTGATAAAATATACTTTATCTTTGACAGTCAAACTTCAATTACTGCTATCTAATTATATTAAACACTTCCTTCATTGGCATTCGCTTTTTTCATATACATGTATACAGACGAGTGTAAACACAGGTGCTCATCCAGTCTTGATACCCATATAAAAAATGAAATTAAATGAAATTTAAAAAAAAACTATTCTGGGTTGAGTGAAAGACAAAAAAGGAAAAAAATATTTTGTTTCCCCTATATACCATTACTACGAAGGAATATATGGTATAATTGTATACAGGATTTTTTTTTTCATTTTTTTTTTCAATCAACCAAAAATAGTTGTGTGTTTTTTTTTTTTTTTTCATTTTTTTTTTATATGAACACCAAGACTGGAAGAGCACCTGTGAGTGTAAATAGACGTACTATCGTTGTCAAATATATTTTCTGTCAAATATATTTTCGCCTCTATTAAAAATAAAATGTACGGCAATGGAAATCCTAATCTATATCCTTATCCGAAGATTGACGGAAAGGGCCGAGCAGTTGCAATGGCGGAAATGATATGGAACGGTTAATAAAAAATCGATAGTTTGAATAAAAAAATGTCAAACAGTTGGGGTGTGTTCTGTCGTAAATAAGGTTTAAACATTTACACGTACATATATATGTACGGGACTTATTAGGTTAATCGAATGATAAAGCGCATTGTTCAAAGTGTATGGATATTTACTTCCTTATTGAACCGCCTATGCACTATCCAAGGTATTGAAACTTACTTTCTCATGCTTGTATAAATGATAATAGATTTTTATACATGTCTCAATGTTATAATTTTCAATGTCATTATCTAAATTATATTATACACACCAATTAAGAATTACTTTCCTCCTTTAGAATGTCGGTTTTCGAAACAGAAACTAACTGTAAAAAGACAAAATAATAAACAACCTTGAATAGCTGTTTATTCGTGGGAAAAAGTTAGTCATCTTAACCGGAATGTATTAATTCACCATTATGGTATCAGTCTGTCTGCCTGTCTGTCGGCCTAACATTTCGTCCGGAGTCTAATTCGAAAAGAATTTAAGTTATAAACTTATGAATAACTTCATCAGCGAATTGATCTTATTTAGAAGGAGTGCAGTGAATGATAATTACCATTTATAATTTATCTAAAACATTTTGATAACATATCTATGTCTATGTCGCGTGTAAAAATCCATTTCCAATGAGTAATTGTCGAAATGATATTCTTTATAAACGAACAAAACTAAAAACGGTAACCTGAATGTCTGCAAAAACAATGAAATACGAATGATTTCATAAAGGAGGTGTGCAACTGTGCATTATGCACCAGTGATTACTTTACACTTTTAGAATTTAGAATTATCGTCTTTTGTAATTTCTTATGCTTAATTTTGTCTGGATCATATCTCGTAAAATATTTGAGCTGTCAATCTTTAACTCTTATCTTGTAAAGGATGAGTGCAGTTAACAAGTAACAACTTTTACCGAAATATTTTTTTCAAGTTTTGCCATCAACACAATTTTGGTCCGAATCATATTAGGAAACCAACTTCAATCTTTATAATATAATAGGTCTCTCTGCAGATAAGTACAGAGCTTTAGAAAAATGACTCTACACTTCAGAAGTTATTGTCCTTCTAAAATAAAACAACAACTTTTCTATGCGAATATTTAATTATTTCCAGACATATCAATTTAATTGTGACATTTTGTCCCTTTGACCTCTATTAATAAATAGAGCTACATAATTATTTGATTTTTGGATTTGGTGCAAAGTTTCATATGCAGATAAGGACTTATCTATTGACCCGGTGACCTACCATTTTGTATGAAATTCTATTTATAACGATATTTTCAGTCATTGATATCAGATGGCTTACTTTTTTATCAAGTGTATTACTTTTATGCTAACCTGAGCATTTTATGTCTTGAGCAGTCGTTTTTACTTAGTTCGACTTGAAAAAAACGAAAAAAAAAAAAAACAAAAAAAAACAACAAAAAACTTTTACCTTGATCATTACTTTTTAAGTTCTTAGTGTAGTGTCTTCACACTTGGTCACAACAGCCCTTGGGACAATACCTTTTCGTCTATACTAACATTGACCTTAATTCATGAATGACATTCACCATCAAGATCAAGTGTCTAAATTTTGCTGTTTTGCAGATTTTTGCTATAAGTGGTCACAACTTTGTTTGATTTTTAAATGGATTGTCATCAATCTTGAACATAATAATTCTTTAAGCTAACAAAATAGACATTGACCTTAACTCGTAAATGACATTGACCTTGAAGGTCAAATTATTTTTTTTTCATTCGTTTGCATAAAGTTTTTATTATTGACTGGATTTACTTCATATAATAACAGAACTTTTTTTAGATAAGACCTTTATATAAATTGAACTCAAATTGACCTTGTCATTTTTATAACTTTGAACTTTGAAATCTAACTTTGAAAGTTAAATTATTGAATTTTCATTTGTTTTGCTATAATTGACAGTACCTTGGTAATTTATCGATTTTTTATTTTTTTAATTGCAAAAAGTTATCTTAAGGACAAGACATTCTGAAAGGTACAACTGACTTTGGCAATGAGCCTTAAATGACCTTTGAATTTTGATTAAGTTGTCATGATATTGTCTTTATACGGATATGATTCATTAATTGACGAAACAACACTTATGACCAAATAGACACGTGAAATAATAAAGACATGACCTTGACCTTTATATGAAATTGAGCGTCACATGATTGAATTTTGATTATATTTTCTTAACTTTGTCAATTATTTATGGAAAAGATTCATCATTGGACAAAACCAACAAGTGTGACTAAACAGACCTATGAAAATTTAAATAAGGAAAAACTTCATTTTTTCTTTAATTTGCTTTTTAAAAATTTGTTTAGAAAAAATAAAAAGTCGAGCATTGTCCCCGTCCGGCTGTGGTTCTTAATTGCTTTTTGTTTTTATAGTTTCCCGTATCTTTGACTATTTTATACGGTCAAGTTTTTTGACCATTGTCAATCATTCTTTCTTTCAGACCGTATCCGTCAATTATTTTTGCAACTTACATTATAATGACATATACATTTTTCAAACTTTTTTGGGGGGTTTCGACAAGAAAGCCATGAAATATGGGATGAGTCTGAAGCTAAAGTAAGAAATTACATATCGAAAAGTTTTGAGATATAGATATCTTGTTCATAAAATCTAAAGCACACAGCAGCGATCAGCTAGAATAGGACGATATTCAAGTACCTGAAGATATTACCTCGCATACTAGGAAAGTTACTCATTATATCGACATCTTTAAGAAGCTGAACAAAAGATCGAACATTAAATAGGGACCGTGAATCCTATATATTTGACTATTGTTCCTGAGAAATAAGACAGTGGACAAGGTCTAAATAATAAACTGCCATATTTGAAAATTCGACATGATGTTACAAATTTTGTTTCTGACATATGTATTCATGCTATAGAATTACGTGTTTGAAATATTTTTAGCTTATCATCAAAATTGACTGGACAAAGCGATATTTGTGATTAAAAAATATTAAGTCATTAAGCATTATTCGTTTGGTAGAAACTTTGGTGAGATTTTTATTTATTTGTTATACAAGATGTTTTGATGTTATTAGACCAATAACAAAAAAAGTAAAAATTCAGTTGTAGTATCTGTTTTTGTTAAAAATATCGTATTTCAGTAAGCTGAAGTTATACAACTGAGACCTGCTAGTAACAATATTTTATTGTTACTTGTTAGATCTAAAGTTAATATCCTTCATAATTTTCTATTAGGATATGTTTATATGTTACCAGAAAATTCGTCAGTACATGACGCACTGTTTGACGAGATTGCTATTTTTGAAAATTTGTCTTAGTTGATTTTAATGCGTGTACGTCCACAAACCTAAGTTTATTGCAATGAATGGTGACTTTCAATTAATGATACTTTTTATTATGAAGATACTATTTTGCTATTTTTCACCTAGAGCTAATCCTGATGGTAAATCTATAAATAATTACGGCAAAAACTTGCTTCAGCTTTGTATTGCTACTAATCTTCATATATGTAATGGCAGAAATAGTAACGGTTGTTGAACATACTGATTATTCTTCGAGTCTTATTGATTATATTCCGTCTAATTTGTCATAATCTGTTTATGGCTGAGATTTTGATGTTGAAAACCGAATTGAATCTTTTCACATGCCCGTTAAGATTAAGTGCGCATCGCAATTAGAAGATAATATTCCTGAACAAGTACTTAGTTTATATCTGAGATTCTATATGCTAGAAAATAATAAACAACCATATAAATGATATATTGAAAAGATAATTATAGGTCTCGATTGTTTGTAAGACGTTTTTGATACAGCTTAAGATAATAATGATATAATCTAGCTATACAGCGACTAACACATTGTTAAAATAATGCTGGATGGAACAAATATGAACACTAGAAATAAGTGTATTAATAATCTTAATACAAATCAGAAATGTCAATAATTGTATAGTTCTTCTTTCAGAGAATTTTGTAGATCACTACAAATTAGTCAAATCCGAATATCGCGAAACATATCTTAACTGTAAACTAACATATGAAGCTAATGAAAGATCAAAACTTGTCGCTGCTGCGCGAAATATTTTTGGAATTATTTAAAGTAAAAGACAATAACAGGGCTTAATCGTGTTAATTTAACAACTGAAGAGTGATATAATTATCTTAATAGTTTATCTTATTCCGTTGTTAACATTGAGTTTTATGATGCCACAAACGTCATTGTAATATTTAACACTAGATGCTGCAATTTCTCTGTCGAAGGTCAGTTGGACAGTAGCTTAACTCAAATATGGTAAAGCAGCTGGAAGTGATGGTATCACAGCTGAGTTTAATTTACTAGCCTCGGAAAGACTCATCCCAATAACGATAAATTTCCCGACAATTGGTCAATCTCACTTATCTTATCTGTAAACTAAATGATCCAATAATTATCGCGGGATCAGCTGTCCTGAGTAAAACCTATTTTAAATAGCAGGTTTGAAAATTTATGTGACTCAAACTTTGTATTAGGTAAAGGATAAGGCAGCTTTATAACACTATATATACATTTTCTTGTTTGTGCAGTCTAATAACCAAATATCTATAAAAACCTTAAGATCGTTTTATGCTTTATCTGTTGATTTCGAAAAAGCATTTGATCGAATTAATAGACATGCTCTATATAGTAAATAATGCACTAATAATGTTAGTTAAAAGTTTTTCTAAAATGATCAAATCTTTATATCATGACATAAAATCCCCATCTGGACTAATTGAGAATTTTAAATGCCCATTTGGTATCAGGCAGGAGTGTACGCTTTCACCATTTTTACTTTCTTTATTCTTAAATGAGCTCAATAATTTTTGTTAGTGCTGGTTACCATGGTATGGTGTCTTATTATAACTAAAACGTATATTCACTTTACTTTACGCGGTCGATTTAGTTCTAATTGCCGAAACAGAAATAGAGCTGCAGTCAATGATTAATATGTTTAAGGTTTAATGTGATGATTGGAATTGTTTGACTCAAAAATTCAATCTATATTGGCATATCGCTCAGAAATTTGGTTTTCTTATGAAGCTAAATATATAGACATAATAGATAGCAAGGTCTGTAACTATGCATTGGAATTAAACTGGACAACTCCTAATAAGTATGTCTTTTGAGAGTTGCTTAAGCTATCAATACTGGTTAAGGATTCTAAAAAAATAATGAAAATAGACTAACATTATACTTTCGAGTCCAATACCGGCGGGTAAAAAATAATATTGATTGTTAGGCATTTTCTAATTCGGCCTGTACTTCTTATAAATGAATTTGATCATGTTTGGCTTAACCAGGGGAAGGACATATTGACTTTCGTGAATTATTTCGAAGGTTGCGGCGCGTTATTGAGGTTCAAACATGGTGGGAGGCTCTTGATTTATCAAGGAGACTTGTATGACTCATCTAGCAGATCTGTGTTTCATTAATGTTTTCAAATTGACTTTAAAAGAGAATCATACCTAGATCAAATTGAAAATTCAAATTTCCGGTCAATCATTCTTAAATTCTGAGTCGGTTCTCTACGGTAGGTTATAACTCTGACTTCTTCAATATACCAAATGGTCAAAGGATATGTCTTCTGTTATACGGACAAGTATAAATATATCACACTATCTTGATTTGTAATCACTTTAATTCTATACGTTAAAGCATCCTACCAGATAAAATCCTACCAGTGACAAATCCTCTCTGTTTATACGTACGTAGATGATGAATATCACACTATCTTGATTTGTACTCACTTTAATTCTGTACGAACAACATTCTATCAGATGAATTAGTGAAAAATCCTTCACGTGAAAAATTTAAATCTGTTCCAAGAAATACAAATGCGACATTTCCCTACCATGCACTTAAATATGGACGCCAATTCAGTACATACAAATTTAACATTATAATTATAGTGATTGTATAGTGTAATATATCTACGGCATTATTTTTAATCTCTTTTATATAATGTTTACCAATGTTCATATTACAATATACTATGTACATTTATGTTCACCTCATTGTATTTTTCATTGCTATGTCTTGTTTGACTTACCTATATACCTATATATCCCAAGTTATCGTCTTTACAATTATTTACTTGAAAGCAGGTTCAATAACATTTTTCCAACAAGTTCAATATTTTGTTCAAACACATTTTAAAACAAAATGTCATGACGCTTTAAATGTCAATGAAAAATATAGATCTGCTTGAGTCTGTATACGAGAGACAAGTGGAATAGTGGAAATAGTAGAATATAGAATATCTCACCTGAAGGTGTTTTCACCTGCCACCCCTCCCTAATCCTTCCTTAACAAAGAGATTAACATTTTCATAACAAAAGGGATACAATTGAAAATGAACTTTATGTATGAGGAAACCCTCGGTAAGTGAACGATTAAATTTCTTTCACTAGGATTAAACTGAAGACACTTACACATTTCATGAAGTGGTTTTTACATAATAAAAGATTAAAAAAAAACATTATTTTGTTTATGTCTAAAAAGACAATGTTTATCAAGCTTAAATGATTTATTTTTCAGAATATGGCAATGTCACTTAAACATAGTATTAAAGAAAGTGGAAGTGACGAAGCTAGGGATACTGAAGATGATACTGAGGTCTGCTCACATTGTGCTACCGATGAAAAACTTCAGCGAGCGTTATACTTCTGTTATAATTGTGGAGTGTTTGGAAGATACATATGTGGCAAATGTTTAACACATCATAACCGCATTGTGAAGACCCATAGGGTAGAAATGATAAGCAATCAGTCAATGTCCCGAGGGTATGTACATTATTTTGGCGAATGACGTGTAGGGTTCAATCAACCATGATCCTTTCTTGGCAAAGCAATTTTGGTTGCTATTATACGCCTTTTTTTCTTTGATCTATATTTTTAAAAATGTTCACATTGACTCAAACTAGAAAAGAACACCTCTTACATAGCATGACATAACATAATCTTATTTTTTCTCTGATACATGTCAAAATGCAAATATGAGTAATTTACAATGAATTATATAGATATGCAAGGTTTACAAAGAATGAAATGAAAACATTTCAAAAATCAAGAAAACATGCAAATCTATAATTTAATAAATTTAAAATACTTGAGCCATTCAGAGATTTTCAGACTAAAGTCTTGTTTTAGCGCACATGATACATGTATTTGATAGTTTTAAATAACAACAACAAACATCTTTTCTTGAAGTGAATTAAGTAAAGAAAAAAAAAAAGAAATGAACTATCTATGTATGCAAACATTTTCTAATACAGATGCCTTTTAAACACTATTAAAACTGTTACTCTCGAATTTTAAAATGAGAACACCACTTGTGTAAGAAAGAATCTTAATTTTTTCTTAACTTCTCATAATTTGTAACAGTGCTGTCAATCACACTTGTGATATATCGCATTTGACTTAAACAGTTTTGACATTTAAAAGCCATTGTATGTTTATTTCAAGCAGATTTTCACTATCTGTTGAGAGTAGTGAGTTCTTAAAGACAATAATTGACAACTTGTAATTAACAGTTTCACTTTCATTTTTATCTAATTTTGATCATAGCCAATATTATATGCCAATAGATAGAGAATAAAGCCATTTTTTCCATATACATAACAGTCTGGTGTTGAAATCTTGATCTTTAAAATAATCGTAAAAATCCTAATTATGCTCGCTCATTCAACATCGGACAGTAAAATCGGTTTAAATGAACCGCCGTATGAACACATCTGCGGATGTTTCTAAATTTTAAACTTTACTATTTCATTTTTAAATGTTGAATTCTGCTTAAGCCAATGCTAGGGGGCGTGGACGGTAGTTTGCACTTGACAGTACCGTCCATGAACAGGCTCAATCAAACCGAGCCGGCAACATTTTTAATTTTGCCGTGTTGAGCTTTCTTTAGGGATTCTGTATTTATCTATTTTAATGTTTTGTTGAAAAGCTCGACGGTTATAATTTTGTTATTAGGACTTACACAGCTTTCATATATATGTAGCTGGGTTTGCGATTTGATTATCTATAGTTTATATAAAAACCAGTTTTACAAAAAATGTACCGTATAACTACCTTAGTAAATTCGTTTTGAAAGTAGAGTTATACATTTTTTGTCTACCTATAGAAAACCTATCACGTTTTTACCCTAAGTTTTCAAGTATCTTTCATAATGCTTTTTGTAGATTTTAGCTGATTCTGATGTTATAGCCGTATCATCATCATAGAGTGCATTACGTTTTTCAATTCACAACTTTACTGTTTCAAATGTTTGTGTTAGATCAATAAAGGAAACGTAAGTGTAGAAACTGAATTACGTGTTGCAACACAAAAACGTGATCTGAGGTAGGAATTCTTTCCTAAAACCTGCCTGTACATTGCTAATTATTTCATTTGATTCCAAATATTCCGTTATTTTTTAATTAAAAAAAACAACAACAAGTAAACCCTTTACATATACAACTTAAGAATGTTTTAGGTCTATAATTTTGAGGTTTTCACCTTTATTTTACAAATTGGGTTAATTATACCAATAGTTAATTATTCTGGTATAATTCCAGTATCTTATATAAGGTTAAATAATCTTGATAATTAATTTTTTCATTTATGGAAAAGATATTCTAATGTATCTGTTTACTTATAACATACATACTGGCATTATATTTTTGTTTAATGGGCCGGACAAGCAAGGGGCATTTCAGAACAATAAGGTGTATCGGGACCGAAAGTGTTGTCGGCTATTGGATATCACAGGTGTCGTTTTAACCGGGTCCAAAAACATAAAGCAAGTATGAGAAATGTTGACAGGACAACAGCTAAGACATTTGGCAAGAAACATTGTCTTGTGGGATCTACCAAATTAATTCAAATTAAACCGTTGGTCAAAATTGGACACGCCCCGAGGTTCCTTTTGAATATAGCAAAATCTGGAAAAAATCTTAACTCATATAGGCTAAATATGGATATATATACATATATATCTATCTATATATATATAAAGATATTTAGTATGAAGCATTGTCTATTGGGTGTCTACCAATTTCAAATTTTAGCACTGAGCGGAGCGTTAATTTGCACTGCCCCGGTGTCATTGGTTTAATTATACGTAGTAAAAACTTTTTTTTTCTTCTAAAGCTATTAAGCTTAGATATGTCGCGTGAAACATTGTGGACCACTTCCGATTTATTCTAAATAAGCGCTTTGATTTTAACTGGACCCTTCCCTCATATGTATTTAGGATAAACAATAAATCACAGGAGCTAGATGTTAGAAAATTGCTATAAAACATTTCTAGTGGCGTCTACAGAGTTTGTTTGAATTATAGCCGCTGGGTCATCATTGGCCTTTGCCTATCCCGAGGGTCATTAATTTCTCATGACTTTCATTGAAACCAGTGATTTCCATAACAATCAATGACTTCCACTAGCAAACATAGAATCCTAAGCAAGCATCGCCTTTCAAAAGCAACCAGTGGCTTCAATAGCAACTATTTACCTTTCATTTCATTCAATGCATTTTTATAAGTTTATAAGTTAATACCTTCAGCAAGCAGTGACATACATGGCAACTTTCCACAGCATTCATATAATTCCATAGCAACCATAGACTTTTCATTCCAACAATATTAACCGTTGCATTTCGATAGCAATTTTTGACTTCAGTAGCTATACGTGACTTTTCACCCCAGTGACTTTAAAAGCAATCATTGACCATAATACAATCAGTAACTTACCACTAAGCAATTATCGACTTACATAGCAACACGTCACTTTTAATTTCAATCATTGGTTTTCATAGCAACCAGTGACTTTTAATTTTGACACGTGTCTTTCCTTAGTTACAAGGGAAACCCAAAGCAAATATTTGCTTTCCATAGTAACTGTTATCTTCTCATAATAATCACTGTCTTTATTAAGCAGCAATGATATCCATAGCAACCATTTACTTTCTATAGCAACCAGTGACTTAAATAGTAACAATTTTTTCCCAGCAACCACTAGTTTGCATAGATATCATTGACTTTTAATAGCAACTATGAGTTTTCTATAGCAAGCAATGTCTTTCACAGATAACATTGACTATCTTTAGCAACTACAGATTTCAAAAGCAACCATAATTTTTCCGCAGCAACCAATGGCTGCCAAAGTAGTTGTTTACCTTCCAGAGCATCCATTTATGTAGTAACGATTTACTTCCATTGCATACAGTGAATTCTATAGCAACCCGTGACGTTATATAGCAACTACCAACCTTCATAGCAACCAATGACTATCCATACTACAGTGACTTTTAACAGGAACAATTGAATTTCCTAAAGCAACCATTGCCTCCCACAACTACCACTGACTTTTGTAAGCAAATATTGACTTAATAAGTCAACCCGTGATTTCAACAAGAATTCCTTTCCTTAGCAAACAGTAGAATCCATAGCAACCATTGATTTTGACGGCAAGCAGCGACATTCTCTAGCAAGCAATGACTTTCCATAGCAACCAGTAAAATTGAAGAGCAATTTTTATTGACTTATATTCTAACCAGAGACTTTCATTGCAACAAGTGACTTCCCATACCAACCAGTGACATATATAACAAACATTGACTTTCAATAACAAAGAGTGACATAAACCAAATACTTTCCTTGTAACCGGTTATACCCATAACCATATATAAGTTTCATTTCAACAAGTGATTCTCCCCAGCTACCAATGATTTACATAGCAACCAAAAGCAGTCCTTTGCAACCTTTGACTCTCATAGCAATCAATGACTTTCCATTGCAATCAGTTACTTTCCATAGCAACAAGTAACTTAATAACAGCCATTGACTTTCCACAGCAACCAATGACTTTCCATAGCAACAATTAAATTTCATCGCAATTTATATTAAATTTCAAGAGCAACCATCGACTTTCAAAAGAAACCATTGACTTTCCGTATGAACAATTGTTTTTTTTTGACATTCACTGACTTCAATAGAACCATAAAGACTTTCCATAGCAAATAGTAAATTTCAACATCAACCAATGACTTCTTAAGCAACTTTTGACTGATTTAGCAATCTGTATTACACAAGTTTTTCCTTAGCAAGCGTTAGAATCCATATCAACCAGTGTCTTTCAAATACAGGTAGGTACTTTCATTGCAAACAGTAAAGTTCCATAGAAATCATTGACTTACATTACAACCATTGACTTCCATAGCAACGAGTGAATCTACCATTGACTTTCATAGAAAAATCTGACTTCTACAAAAACAATTGATTTGTATAGCAATTAGTACTATTATAGTAAGTACATGTAATTATTTAGGCAGCTGAATCGTTATTACGCAGATCTGTATGCGCATTTGTATGATTTATTAATACGATTTATTAATAAATAATCACAATAAATGTAAAAAGCTATAAAAATTTAAAGCTTTTGTAAGTTTTTTTATTATACCCATCAGAAGTTTAATCGTTAAGAACTGAATAAGGAGGCATGAGAGGTAATTTGTTTGCTGTATTTTTATATTTAGCATGTTGTTTGAAAGGTAGTCTTTGGCGTTGCAGTTTTATGTTAAACAAGTAAGTCATACAAGTTAAATAGTTATTATGAGCTGATCGTGAAATTATTTAATTTTTATCTAAATATAGACCATTTTATCAATTTGTTTTGAGAAGATGAACTGCCGTTTCAAAATTGAAATTTAGACAAACATTGGAGAGAGAACTTGAAAAAGAGCGAAATAATGTAGACGAACTACGCCACAAATATGATGACAGTATGAAACAAATCGAAAAATAT